AGACAACATGGAACTGTACATGAGTGTAATCACGACTGATGTAAAATGACGTATACTCAATAAACACGCAGATCGTACATATATTTTTAAAGGACCAGACTCGTTGAAGACAGTCATGGCCGAGATTCTATATTTCAACAAATACACACTATAAAATTTCTCGGATCTTTGATTCCAAAGTAACAATATTTCCATAGACACCTTCACTTTTGAAATAAATCCAGGTATATTACCTGTATAAAATCATTTCCTAACCAATTTCTAAACAGGGCAAGGAAAAGTCTTTATAGTTTAGTCGAATGAGACGGTTTAGACTAAATTCTTCATTAACTGCAGACATATTAGACCTTACAGCATATTTTTAATGCTCTAATTAAGCATTTGCATGCAGATTTAATACTAAATTAGGTTAGGTTTGTACAAATCTCTTTTTTCCATCCAACACTCCCCAACTCCATTGCAGAAAGGTACGTATGTGTGCGATGCTACACCTAAAAACGAGAGAGGAAACAAACCACTTATTTTAATCCGACTTGGCAGCATTATACTGAAAAGATTTCCTCAACAGTGTAGAGTGAAATTCTCTCCGCTAGGTGGCAAAAGTCTACGAATTACGATGATTCAGCATATTGTTTCCTAACCTCTCCGCCAGATGACAGAACCAATCGACTACAATGATTCTGTCTACTGCTACTCCGCCAGAATCACAGACAAAAAACTGTGGTTCACGAATAAATTAAACGTCACATAAATGCCAACTTCCGTCGTGAACAACTTCACAGATTCTATTGCATTCCTCGTAATTACGAACAGCCCCTAAGGAAACAAGCGTGATTAACATAATCCGATTAAAACCAAGGTGACTTTTAGACAGTTTTATCTTAGTATTTCGATTTGTTCAGCGTTGCGTAAATACAGCATAAAAAACATTTTCTCTTTATGTACAATAAAACATGGCACGTGTTACAAACAAACAGTTGCAATTAAATTATTTAAAGAGTCAAAGTATACATCGGATTATACAAGATTACAAACTAAACATAGGAACGTCCTAATTATTTACTCAGCTAATGGGAGAATACAACATCAAAGAGAGAAATTTTTAACTCACTTGAAAAATCTGTACACACACACACATAAACTCCCCAAACCTGGACTTCGTCTGAAACCGAAGGTTCGCTGACGTACAATGCCTTTCAAATTATTGCCATAATCTTGTCTGCCCATATAGACCACAAGAATATGTTACATATATTAACATTATTACAATTTTCAGAAAGCAGTGTTGCAGTAGAAAATGGCTTAGTGTCAATGACGAAATATTTTACGCAATGTGTATTAATACTGTATAATTAAGAAATGTACTAACATATGTGTACAAAATCAAATGGAGATTAAAAAACATCGATAATGCATGATTTGGAATGGGGGAGAAATCTGTCGAGCAATACCAGAACTATAAGACGCCGGCTACCTGTCCGTGCGGAGCTCAGTTGGACACTTTTATCTCTGCCGAGCGAACCATAATTTAATGATGTAACTGTACACTGGACAAGCCAAGAAGTGTGATTTGGAACCCAGGAAATTGAAAAAGTTTATGTGGTACTATTTCGGTTATTGTGAAGAATTCATGTGCAATGCGGTGCAGTATTTAGGCGTCCCAATACGAAGCAGAAACGCGATGATTTTAGAATAATTCTACGTCTGCAGGCCCTCCACGTTGAAAGCTTGAGGCATGTTGATCGTCAGAAGCGAATATAAGACGAAAGGAAAGTTTGTTTTAAACATCCACCAAACATGAAACATACTTTGCATCATAAACACCCCCCCCCCCCCCCCC